GGAGGGGGGGGGGGGGGGGGGGGGGGGTTGCTTCAAATTTCCGTTTGAACATCAATTGAGTAAATTCAACTTCTCTCAGCATTGGAAAGACAATCTTGGTCATAACATGATTGCGAATTTCACATGGAAATAAAGCAACTGAACGTACCTGCAGCTCTTAGGCAATGAACAAATAAGGCCTTCTCCTCCAGGATGTACAGCAATTCTGTAGGGCAAATCACTACCAGTTCCAATCTTTCCCACCTTAACAATGAAATCACGCCCTTTCGTTTTAGGAATAATTAGTTTTTAGATAATTATTGCAGTCAAAGTTTCCTCAATATTCATATGCATTCGAGTAGAACTATTCAGGGTGTAAGATGTGAAGCATTATTACAAAGAACCATGTCATACACATAACATATTTATTTGTACCTACCAAATATTATAAAAATATTGTTATTCCAATAAAATTAGCTCCAGAAATTCCTTCTTTTTTATTTAATAAAATTTGAATTTATTTATTACCAGAAAAAGGTTGACCAAATTTCCTTTACTAAAGAAACAGTAAATTTAAGCCAGAAATTGTAGAGAATTCTACTGCAATCAAAGTAGCACAACAGGATGAACAGTAGCCGTGATTCTCATGGTAATAGCATCAGTTTGTAATTTTATTAAATCAGATCTAAAGAATATATCGTCTATACTGTTTTTTTTTATTCAATTTATTCCAAATCGATCAACGCTGAAAAAATATACATCATTTAGAAAAGCCAATAATGATATAAAAATGTAAAATAATAAATACGTATAGACGTGTATATGCGTGTGGGAGGGGTGCAATTCATTTAACTGTGAGACTTACAGGTTGATCGGAAAGAGAATTAGAAGTAAAATCAAAAGCAGATACAAGGAGGGCATTTGGTATTCCGCTGCGGCCTTCTCCACCACCTCCGGCTAGGACGATATGGTAATTCGAGGCGGAGGAAGCTGCCGACTCGGGTTCCACCGGAGATGGTTCGGATCCGGACTTGATCGTAGAAGAAGCGGCGGGGGGAACCCACGCGGCGCCGTACAGTGGAACCCCGTACTTCTTGTAATTTGATGCGTCGTCGTTCTTGTCGCTCTTACCCATAGTGAGCTTATGGAGAAATGGTTCGAGTGTTGACTTTTGACCTCAGAGAGTAGCTGAAAATGCGGGACCATTTATAACTTGAATAAAGCCCCCTGTCATGGCGCCCATGTCCCTGACCCTGTCCCGGGTCGGGACAGGGAGCAGCGTTGTTATAACTTTCTGTTTACATGAGAAGCAGGTTGGGCCATGACCCGGTTTTACCGTCCACGACTGGGACTTAGAATTTGTTTGGTACAGTTAAAAAGTTAATTAAAATTAATTTTTTTAACTGTTATTTCATTATTACAACGATCATTTTTGAATTCTTCTTCCAAGACCCATTTTATTTCTAACGGTCAAAAAATCAATTATCAAAATCCCTATCAAACAAACACTTAAGAAGTTACTTATTTGGATTTTGATACTTGTATACCAGATTGACACCTCAGTGTACTGATCCCTCACAACAGGGGGCAACGACAAATAAACAAATCGTGGGACCCTATTGTGAGGAGGTCGATTAACCCCGATGTACAAGTAGCATGGTCCTACTTATTTTGGCGCTTGTCACATTTTGGCTAGATTAATAAATCTTTTGACGGTTTGAAAGGGTAGTGGGACCTAATTGTGCAACAACTAATAATTACTCTCGGAATTGTCATTTTGTAAAGAAGAATAAATTTTATTTAAAGGAATACATTGGTAATTTTACTTAAAGGTAATTAGTACATAACGTCATTACCTTTCACTATTATTATAAAAAAATGTCCCTCTCTCATTTTTTTTGGCGTTTTCATCCTTAATTATGCATTTAATTGCTCAAATCATCATTTCTATCCATTTTTCATCCAATTTCTTAATAAAAGCTGTGAAATGACGAATACACCCTCCTATTTAATTAATCAAATTTAAGAAAATTAATTTTTTAATAATTTATTTGGAACTCGTTTGCCCTTTTTTTTTTAAAAAAAAAAATTGATTTCTAATTTTTTAATAATTCATTTGAAACTTGTTTGCACTTTTTAAAAAATTTAGTACTCTGGTTGCAATTAATTCTTTATTTTTTTATTTAAAAAATAGTAGGATATATTTGTCATTTCACAATTTTTATTAAGAAATTAGATAAAAATGATGGTTTTTATAATAAAAAGTGTAATTAAGGATGAAAATGTCAAAAATAAAAGGTAAGAACGTTTTTCATAATAATAGTGAAAGGTATGGACATTATGTACTAATTACCCTTTTATAATTTATTTGAAACTCGTTTGCACTTTTTAAAAAAAAAAATTAGAACTATGATTACAATTAGTTATCTCTTTTTCTTTTTCTTTTATTTAAATAAAATGGTATATTTTTCATTTTCATATCTTTTAATAGAGAAAGTAGATGAAAAATGACTTTTTGCACAATGAAAAGAGAAAATAAGGGTGAAAATGTCACAGAGTGAAAGGTAAGGAAATTATGTGTTAATTACTCATTTATTACTTAATTCAATATAAAATAACGGTTCCTATCATTAACAAACACTACAACCTACATAACTGCATGAATTTGACTAAAAATTTGATACAGAATGTGCCCAAGACAAGTGGATAAATTAAATTCTCTTTCTTTCAACTTAAATAACTTATAATTAAAACTGGTTCACACCTTATTATGAGATTTCACTTTTTTTTACGAGTTTTTCCATAATTTTATTACTAAAATTTAATTATTGAGTGTTAATTTTATCATTACTAAGTTATTTTAATATAACATTTAGCTTTTGTTTTGTTGGATTAAAATCGAAATTTTATCTAAAGCAACATCGACAATTAATTTTAACTACATATTTTATACATTTCGCTATTTCATCATTTTTTTAAAAAAAATTTACGAAAATTTCGATTTGAGCCCCATCAAATAAGGGCTTAGTATCTGTTTTTTTAAATTTTATTTAGCCCATGTTTGGTATGAATTAATATCTAGATTTTAATTTAAGTCAAAAGTAATAATTAATTTTAATAACATATTTTATGTATTTCACAACTTTTCAACAACATATTTTCAGCTACTTATTTTAATCTCCACCAAACAAGGGCTTAGTAAATTTTCTAACACTGGTTTTTATCAAATTATATATTTAATCACTAGTTATGTATTTAATAAAAAATAATTATGAATCACTCAATTATATATTATTGACATACTATATTATTACTTTCTAAAAAATATAACATAATTTATATCCCTTTCTAAATTTTAATACACAATAAATCTCGATTTAGTAATTGACCCTATTTGATTCTTTTATTACAAAATAATATTTTTTTTTATGACATCATTCAAGGGCGGACCTAGACCATTCAAACTGTGGGGTCAAAATTTTTTTTTCGAACAACGTATCATAAACAAAAAGGAAAAATCCGTTGTTTGCTGTTCATGTTCAATATTTGCACTTTGGAAAGAAATTGGTGGATTATATGATATATTTATGGACTAAATAATGGATATGGACCATGTAATATGGATATAAATTTAGGATTTGAATTTTTTGGGAAAGAAAATTAAGTTTTCAGCAAAAAAAAAAAAAAAATTCCAGAAAATTGTGGGGTCATTTGACCCCACATGACCCCATGTGGGTCCGCCCCTGACATCATTATTAAATTAGCTGAGGTATGCAGGCCATTTTATTGGTCTAGGGAGAAAATAAGTTACTTATTTGAGTATATTCATAATCGTATAAATTTTTGTTTATTAATGAATGTATTTTTATAAACTTATCCGAGCATTAAAATATAAACATTTAATAGTTTTTTGATTAATTATAATTATCTTATTTTATGTTTTGATTAATAGGTAAAATTTGATGATTAAAAGTAGAATTGAAATAAATAAGCGGAAAATGGTGAAAATGATTAAATCCAAAGTTTAGGGACCTAGTTATAACTTTTGAATAGTTGATTCGGCACAAGACGATGATTGAAAATTATAAAGGTTCAATTTGATACGATTGAAAGATAAATGATCAAAATTATTCTAAAAAATTACTCAAGAAGAATTCAAGGATTAAAGTGCAGATTTGAGAAAGAAATTATGTGCTTGTTTGGTACAGATTTTAAGTCAATTAAAATCAATTTTTTGATTGTTATTTAACTATTCCAACTGTCATTTTTGAATTCTTCTCTGACAGATAGGACCCACTTTATCTCTAACGATCAAAAAATCAATCATCAAAATTCCTACCAAACATGCACTATATTGGGTTATCGCCTAGCATTAAGCTTGGCAATTGCCCATCCTACAAATACAAAAGCAGGGATTGAATAATTGCTTGGGGATTTGTACCGAGTTTACACTGGTCGATTGCCCAAGACAAAGTTTGGCTAAATCTAGGCAATTTCCTATCTCAACTCAAATTCTTCTTTAAATGAACTTTAAACGCGATTTTCAACTTATTTTCGGGCCCTATAAATACAAAACCACGAAATTCATCTATTATTATTATCAAAGGGAGGTCAATATATTGTTCTTGTGAGAATTAAAGGACAACTACAAGTTTTCAAGAAATTGAAATATCAACCTTGATTTTTGGAGAGAAAACAAGAAGACAGATATATTGGAGATTCACAAGAAACCATTGTAAGAGATACTAGAGTTCGAGATCAATCTTCTTCTCCTTCATTAATTTAAAATTCAGGTTATGTTCTTTTAATTAAATACATTTCCTTGCGATTTTATAATGCTATGCTAGTGTTCTTAGTTACTAAAGCATTGATGAACTATTATTATGAGTTTTAATTGAAATTCTATAATTTGACGCCTAACATGTGTTTATTTTTGAATGTTTGTTGTTAAATGTTTAATGATTTTCAATTACTTGATCACTAATTTAATTGATTTGTGAATTTTATTTTTCTCACGAGAGATAATAGAATAGATAACACTTATAACAATTATTGTAAAGTTTGATATGGAATAGAGATATATCGCGATACTTTACATGATTTACATAGATGTTCTAATATTTTTAATCCATATTTTTATGTTCGCATCTTTTATAAAAATATATGAATATCACACGAGAAGATGGATTTAATTGACATCAAAAGATGCTATTAATTAACCTAGAAACATTGATAAACGAGAATGTGCAATTATCGTAATGTCATTAAATTGCATTGAAACGGATTAATAAAGAGGATTCTAGATCTCAATAACATCTCATCTAAATTTATAAAAGCTTTATAATTTGCTAATTGGAATATTTTAGTTTAATTAGTTAATTTAGTATAAATTCAAACATAATTGGCTATTTGATTAGAGTTACGATTAATTGATCATAGATTAAGTACATAGTAATGCTGAAAATCATACTTTATTCATTAATATATTACTTATTTGCGATGCCATACACTTGTGAGAACTCAAACGATTAGTTATAAAATAAGAAGAAAAAATATATTATCAAATATTTACAGAAATGACTAAGATGATCAATTGACTGCGCATACTGTATTAAAAAGAAAGTAGCTGAACACACTTGCAACGAAGTATAAATCCTTGGGGTCAAACTGCAATTATCAAAAATTTCAGTAACCAAAAAACAACGAAAAGATTGCAGTACAGATTTTTGGGAAGATTTCATCTCTTCAACTTCTTTTTCCTCGCCAAACACTGAACAATTTCAAGGTCTATTATTATTGGCCACCTTGGTGTCCGAGCTAAAGCAAAAATAGAAAGTAAATAGAAGATATATGGAAGAGTTATTGTTGGGGATCCTAGGAGTTTAATCAACCAAAACATCAAACAATAGAAGAAATTTTAAGGCAAAACAATGAAAAAAGCATGAGCATTAGCCTCATCAAGAGTAATCTCCATCTCAGGCCACTTAAAAACCCTCAACTTGCCATCCTGTACTGCACCAAATTTAAATAATTAAAATAGCAAACAATAATGTTCTTTCATAAAGAAGACACCCATGCCTGCACTGCAATGTTAGGAAATGTTCTTTAAATAAATATTTCAAAGAAATTCGTATTTAAAGAGTGTTTGAGACCCATTTTTATGAAAAAAATGAATATTAGAATTAGTAGATTGATGGAGAATGTGTGGATGAAAAAATAAGGAAAAGTTTTTTATTTCGTGTAATATTATTTTAATGAAGAATGTGTGATTAAAAAGAAGATAAGAGAAAAATGCTTTTTGATAAAAATGAGAATCAAACGGGCCTTTAAATAAGTTAGATATAAATTAAATACACTTCTCCTCCTTATGGCTGATTTTTCAGGCTCAGGAACAGCCCTCCATGACTTGCAAATCACCTTCCAAGAGAGAGGGGAAAAAACTGGCAAAGAACCACCACCTTCAAGCTAAAAACCGAGAGAGTGCATAGAGAAAAGGAGAGGGAGTCTACTTAAGAAGGGAAGGAAGGAAAGACCCATGCCTCTGCCAAAAAACGTGGGAAGCCCTTATTGTGTCAACATCAATACCATCAAGTCACAACATCTCCCCCAAGATTAAATCTCGGCCGTCGATCTTCATCCAGTGGTCCACAAAAAACTGAATAGATGGTGTTAAGAGAACCATATTCTCACAGTTATCATCAGCATACGTCTCATTTTGAGTGCACTAGGATAATTCGGGACGAGTTTTAGCCCTTTATTATGCTTATACAGATTGTTGACAAGTGAGCAGCTACAGCTTCTTCCACTGTCAAGAACATACAATCAGGTCTTGCTAATTTGACATTTTTCTTATCCTGCATAACAACCAAGCCTAGTGTTAAAAGTAATATTTTACAACACATATCAAGTAATCACTTCGAATTCTCAGTTAGAGAACATTAAGCTCTGAACCATAACCTGAGAAGAAATAGAGGGCTGGCTTTGAGATTGTTATCTTGAGGAATTAAAATAACACCAATGTCAATTACCTAAACCAGAATCCAACTAGAGATGACAAATACTCACGTGAACGGCCAAATCTTTGACTTTCCAATTGATGACATTTCTTAGATCTTAGCTATGAACATAGACATCATTGTGCTAATGATAATTATATCACAGCTATCATTGTTTGTACAAATTTTTCGATAAACAACAACCCAGTACTGGAGGCAAGATTTTGAAGTATAATGGTAACAGTTTACAGATGAACAATTCAAAACATAATTCCACTTCGTATTTTTCTCTCATTCAAAAATTATTTATTGTCAAAAAATGGCTAGTGCTCAAATGTACCATAAAATTTGGTCCGCCTCGAGTAAAGATGAAAAAATATCCTGTGACTAATGCCATCCTGTAAAACTAAACTAAAATGGCATATTCTTTTTAATATCTTTCTCACGTTGCAAATGTGACTCTTCATTGTTCTACAACATTGGCACTTTTAAAATATTAGCGAAAAGATCTATAGTTCTTTACCTCACCCCCAACAGCAAGTAAAGTACCCTCATTGTTAAATGTCAGTGCTAATTGCTGGCCAACATCTTCCAATTTCTCAAGAACTTTCTCAGATGATTTCAGGCTCAAAGAATGCTCATCTATGCTCGTAGTTGAATCCCAGTCAAACCATCTGCATGATTACTCATGTAATTCATAAGATCGTCATTGAAGCTTTGTTTATAGCTATATACGAAAGAATAACTTATTCAAGATACTTTGCTATGCCTTACAGAAAATATTAACAATTTTTCTTTTTCTTTTTTTCACTGAGCATTTAATGGGATTTTCAAAACTTAGAGATAAAAGAAGTATGGCTAACTAAGATATTGCACACCACAAGTTTTCACAAATTCTACAACTTCTGCAGGATGCACTTTACATGAAATAGGAGAAGACATTTTTGGTTCCATAACATTCTTGCAAGCCAAACACAAAAAGTTTGTAAAGATACTCTTTTTCAAACATTAAACAGAGTCTATCAAGAAAAGACAAAATGCAAAAAGAATTAATTATTTCAGCTCTCAAGCTATGTAGTCGATGCATAAAATATTTAAAACCTTTTTATATAGCATTATATACAATTATATTGTAATCCTAAACTTGATGAAATGACATATAAGTAAATCGTACACAACAGGATAATATTACAACCAAGCTAGAAAACAAAATGATATTTCGACGCAGAATACAGGAAGGTGCAACAAAATAAAAAATTCAAGCCCACTTTTCTTTGTTTCACTTTTTATTCTTATTCTTGGGCACAGGGAACTTTCTAAATTGATCCTGATAGTTATAACTTAGACTTAACCTTCCACATGGTTGATGATGCCTTCAGAAAGATCCAATGAGTATAATCACCCTCAGTATGTGGCAAGGCCATGGCCTCGCACCATTATCAATCAAACAAGCACATTGCAATTATTCAAGTCTCAAATACTTGTTCAATTAATTATTCACATAAAGGTTATAGTCAGATTGTACTCATGTAAGAAATTGAAGTTATTAATGCGATTACAAAAAAAATAAAAATAAATAAATAAATAAATAAAAATTGAACAACTAACTCCTAAGGAGCTGAAGAAATTAAGATTGTTAAAGATTTAAATGAAATGACCCAATATGCATCTAAATCCAGGATGAATAATATTCATTATCAATCACTTCCCTAAAATTTGAAACATATCTTCTTGGTATATAACTGCATAGGCCATAAGATTTCTACATCTCCATTAACAAAATAGTATAAAAAAATCCATAAAAAATAAGAATTTGAAGAGAAAAACAATAACTTGATACATTTTTTTCATTCTTTCCATTATGCCAATAAATCAAGTTCTCATACATTCCCCTTTCCTACCCAACAAAGAGAAGGGAAGTAAAAAACTGAAAACACGGAAAAGAAGGAGGGGGGGGGGGGGGGGGGGTTT